TTTTTTAGTTAAAAATCTAGCGAAAGCGAGTTTTACGAAAATTTGGGTTTTCAGGCTGCTTTCACCTAATATTAAAAAATTCACCATTCACTTATAAGACATCAAAACACGTTCAAAGCTTAGAATGTAGAGTAATTAGGCTCTTCTATGTCGTATTTATAGGAGATCTAGAAAGATATTACAAAACTCTAAGGTTTTCCAAAAGGGTTTCTGAAAAACTCATTAACAAAAACACGCTTTTTTGATTTTTTTCGATCTCATAATCACATTTAGCGGACAAAACTGACCATATCCTGAAGTTTTGAACGTGTTTTGATGTCTTATAAGTGAATGGTGAATTTTTTAATATTAGGTGAAAGCAGCCTGAAAACCCAAATTTTCGTAAAACTCGCTTTCGCTAGATTTTTAACTAAAAAACTTTAAAAACTTTTTCTAAAAACAAATATTACCACCAGACTCAGCATGATCGACTACTTATAATCGACCAGTTTTCAAGGCTACCAATAGCCACCGGGTTCCAGTCATGCAGCTCCTTCTCATAGGAATCCGATACAACGTCAGAAAATCAAGGTCTCGCTTGACTCTCGTTCTGAAGAGCACACCCCAAGCTACTAGCCCATGGAGAAAAAGTAATACAATCCTATTGTGAAATTTTTACACACGATTTAATATTTCAAAGATCTCCTAGAAAACCTGTTTCAGAAAACTCTTCTGAAAAGCATTTTGTTTGTGAAAATGTGCCCCTAAGTCTCCTCTTTCGCACAGCGAAAAGCCGGAGCTCTCTAGCTACTTTCTACTAAAAGTTATTCAAAAAATACTCATGGACCATTATATTTTTGGACGGACAATAGCTGTCGTTATTCTGACAAAAGCACAGTTCCGAATTTGTAAAGTGAGCAGATGATAGTTCATTCCACTTTAAGATAGGGAATAATTTTCATAAATGGCCAAATTAATCTTTTTCCATTATGTTTAGTATGAAATAAAATATTCTTTATTTAATATCATGCAAATACCACCACAGAACCAAACGAACATAGCGTCTTCAGCAACTTTATCTGATGAAGAAAAGCAACGAAAACGATTTCAGCAATCACCAAAAAAACAGACGACGACGTCTCAGAGAAAATATCTACAACCAACTCCCCAAACTCAACCATTGATTGCCAGTGATATTAAAGAACATTTTATCTGGTCGTTAGTATTAACAATATTGTGTTTTTTTTTGATTGGGCCAATATTTTCTTTATTTTACAGTCGACAAATTAGACGAATGAAACAAAATGAAGATCTAAAAAATGCTCAAATTTTATCGCATAAATCATCAGTTATATTAATGATCTCAACGATACTTGGTGCTGTTATTTGGGTTGCTGTGTTATTTTGTTCAGTTGGATTATTATTGTTCGGAAAGTTGAAGGACAGTAATATTATATAAGAATTATGTTTAATTGTAAGAATCTCCTTAGACGCATTCGACGGTGAAATTATTTTTTATCTGAACATTCTCTTGTTCTATAAATGCATTTTCTATACTAGATATCTTATTCATCACTTTTTGACACATCTTACATGTTAACTGTTTGTTTTAATGTTTCCAGTTATATTTTATGTTACATAATTTATGCATTTTGTTTAAAAAACACTATTCATGAACGTTGCATTTTCTTCACGATAGAAGACGTTTTTTAGCTACTGTTCAATTCTTTATCACTAAGCATTTTCTATGAGCAATTTTATAAGTCATTCTAAATACAACTTGGTCTGATTTTTAGAAATACGTGAAATTCTTCAACTGATAACACGTAATCTTGCTATGTGAAGCATGAAAGTAATTCCCTGAAACCGATATCTATAAAGTTGATTTAAGAACAACTCCTTTATTGATTTTGTCAGTAAAGGTTTAAAATGAAACTTATCCAGCAACGAACGCCTGCAGCATTGAAAAAGTATTTAATATTAGCTTTATTCTGTCAGAATACAAGCGGAAAAATATTCCATTATAGTATTCTAAACTAAAACTATCGAAAAACACAAAATCAATTTTGTACGAATAGAGATTCGAACACATGAATTTAGCTTTGCAGTAAACTGCAAAAAAGTATTTGTTTCATTTCCTGTATGTACAGTGTAATTAATTCGACCATAACGCGATCAAACACTACAAAATGGATTCGTTCAAGTAACTGAGACTTGTTTCCATGTGCTGCTTAAGTGGCAGCTTCTGCATTCTACCACTGGAACAAACTAGCTTTTCCTCGATAATTCTGCAAAAAAGAATTTGCAGATGTTGCTCATCAGACAAATCTAATGATCCTTTCCTTTCATCGTGGAATCATTTCCGATAATAAAGGTTATTTTTTATCTAATTACGGAAAACCCTTGCCGATTCGGAGTTCGATTAGCCGCTGTTAACCTTATATGTTTATTTTGGTTCATCGTGAAATGGAGCGACATCTCAAAGCGAGAGTGAGGCAGACTGAGTTCCTTCGGTTGGTCTTGAGTGAGTTTTACCGATGGGATAACTGATATACGTATGTAAAGAAAACATTCATGCTTGAAATTGTCGAATGCTATTCGAAGATATGGTGCTTTGAACAGTTCGTTGCTGGAGCCAATCTAATATCCCGCGAATGAGGTGGTATAATTCTCTATGCATCAAACAGGATCGACTTGCTCTTTGCTCACTGATGGGTTTAAAACCGCTTTTTGAAAGTTAAAACTTGAGAAAATTTCTAAAAAGGTTGATACAGTTAAAACTTTGGTTATAACTATGAACCACAGTTATAACTATCAACTCGAGTTGATCGATATAACTGCGGTTGAACGAGTGACAACTCCAAACGGATAGGGTGATAACCATTCCAACTCTAGTTATAACTGTAGCAGTTTTAGTAATGACTACCAACCCAAAATAAAATTATGAAAGCTCATTTCAGTTTGTATTATGGCACAGTTATAACTAAAGTTGAAATAGTTATAACTCTTTCAACTGCAGTTATATCAATCAACGCGAGTTCATAGTTATAACTATTGTAAATTTCTGATTAAAAGTGGAATTAGTTATAACTAATTTCAACTCCAACTAGTTATAACTCAGGTAGTTTTAAACCCATCAGTATCTTTGCTACACTCTTTAAGTCACAAATGGTCGCGGATGTATCAAACCGAGGAAACTCAGAGTATTTGGACGAGAAAAATCAGTCTTTAGTGAGTTTCACTCTATTTGTGCATTAACTGTGAACTGAGACATTTCTGCTTGGATGAATAATCGAACCTGTACATTTTGAATAATGAAGATTTAAACCTTTCCTTCTCTCAAGTATCTTATTAAAAACAATTAAAATTTGCTAAAGAAAAGCTCTTACAGAAAAAGAGGGACCCTAAATTTCGAAAAACCCGTCAGTTTGAAAAAAGTTCGAATTTTTCTCTTTTTTTCATTTTCTTTTGTCACTGAGAAAATTCATATTTTCTAAATCAGGGGGTGAAAACTGAGTCGAACGATATATATTTCAAAATTTTTCGTTGCTTTTCATTTTCTAGTGAAAAACTTAATAATTTTTCGACGTGAAAATTCGAAAAAAACAAAAGTGGTTGGATAGAATGAAAAAATACATTGTTCGACTCAGTTTTTAAGGCTGATTTCGAATATGACCCAACCATGTATAAATAAATGGGGAAAAAAGTAGATTAAGCTATAGTTGCCGATCGCTGGAAATACAACGCCTTAAGATTTTCTAAAAGAAAGACTTGTTTGCCGCTTTTCCTGTAAGAGCTTTCCTTTAGCAAATTTTAATTGTTTTCAATAAGATGCTTGAGAGAAGGAAAGGTTTAAATCTTCGTTATTCAAAATGTACAGGTTCGATTATTCATCAGAGCAGAAATGTCACAGTTCACAGTTAATGCACAAATAGACCGAGTCTCTCGCTCTATCCAGTCATTGAGAAAAAAATCTTACGCGAACTTTGAATTTTCGGCATCTTACAATTAGACGCCTACATGCATTAGAGTATAATTTTTAAAACTTTTCAAGCACCCATGCGCAAAAAATTTTCAAGTTTCGCATTGGTGCACAAACCAAAATAAAAATTATTTTTGTAATATGAGCAGATGCAAAATTTCAAAGTCTACAATATGTCATTCTTTGATTGACCATCTTTGACAACAAATGATGAAGCCTCAAAGTTGGGTTTTATGTCTAAAATATTAAGATTTAAGTCTAGTTTTTAATGTCTTGTTTGAATCGCGCAGCAAAACTATTATGACTACTAAAAACTACACTTTATTCTATATTAAGCATTAATCAAGTCAGCTTTTTATGGTTTTCAGTACTTCTAATGCTGCAGTAAAATGGCAAATACTTATTTCAAAAGGAATATGTGACTAAAATCTACGCAAAATTCTCTATCTTTAACATCCAAATGAAATTTTCTAGTGAAGCTTAACCTGAGAAAAAAATCTTTCATAATCCGACAATTTGATCTGGACCACCCGTTATGAGCTATCAAATCCTGTACTTTATCCCGTAAACTTTTAACTTGATCGGGTGAAATTTAAGGGGGTTCGTAATGCGGTCCAATGAGAAACCGTGTTTTCTGGAAAATTGGTGAACGACAATAGTTATAAACTTGAAACAAAAACAAAAAAGTGTTCCATTGAGTTTCCAATCAGTTCTGAAAATATGACGCCTTAGTGAGTTTTAGTTTTTATTCCACAGTATTTCTACGGGAAGCCCAAAATGAGGGAAGGGTACCCTTAATGATATTTTGCCACTAACATGTTCACGTTTTAGTAGTAAAATCCATGTTAAATGACACGTAGAGAAAAGAAGGCTTTTGGGGCTCCCAGTACTACTAAGGTGGCTGAAAAGTATTTTTTGAGAAAAATTGATAATTTATCAAAATTTTTCTCATTAGTTCTCAAAACTCTTCAACATAGATAAATTGATATGGCATTATAAGAAGTTAACCAGATGAAAGTTTGTAATGGGTTATCCTAGAGAACCCAAATTTAAACAGAGGTTCTGAAAGGTCGTATGAGAACGGACGGACACCAGACTGGTGCTCAGCATCAAAAATACACCTACGAACGAGTACATTTCGAGAAAAATCGAAGTGATGCTTGGGAATCTTCCCTCGCTAGCTGAAAAACAATTCGGAAACCTTCATTTTCGTAAAACCCGGTTTGCACCAGATTTTCAATTTTTTTAGACAGCAAACGTTACCAGTAGATTTAGCATAGCCGACTCCGCATATTTCATATAAATTTCATGTTTACTGCAAATTATTCGATACCATAGTCGTAGGGTTCCAAGAAAATTCGATATCACATCCAAACCGCTAAAAATCAACATGTCACTAAACTCTCACTATGAACAGAACACTTTTTGCTTTTTACAGAAGTTTTTTGAAAATCCAGGTGCTTTTTCAAGTATCTTCCTAAAATTCTACTTAGGAAGATGTTTTTTAACTACTTTCGATTGTGAAAAGACGTCTTTAGTTTGTCTCTATCGATCAGTAACTTTCTTTCACACGTCTGTAACTTTCTTCTTTCAAAGTTATTATAAAAAACATTCATACTTTTTCTGTTTTGAAATGATTAGTAATTATGTATATGAAAAATGTTGAAGGTTGAAAAACAACTGTATCAGCCCATCTCTTTTAGTAAAGTGATTTCAACTGAGATATTCCATTCCATCTATTCGTTTGGGATACCACTTGCACTTGTGTGATATACGATAATTCATTTAAACCGAAAACACTGTTTGGACAATATTTTTTTCTGATATTCTTTTATTATCATCATATTTTCGTACAACGTGTGGCATTATTAAAAACAAGAGAACATATCAATTAATTTAAACGATTATTGATTTCAGAATGGTTGTACGAGAAGAAACAATAGTACTATCGGTGACTACTTTGATGACATTAATGAAACGTGGATCACGATGTAGCAATATTCGACGCAATCTTTCTCATGCACCTTTGACTATTTTTTTCTCCTTTATTAACCAAATAGACATTGAACATAGACACATTATTTTTTTCCATATTTAAATATGTATGGTACAGGTTGTTCTTGTACAATTTTTTTTAAAAGCAGTCCCAACCAAGCTCTTGCAAATGGATTTGTATCAATCATTTGCTTTAACGATGGCGATAAACGAGGTCCCATATGGGGACTATAATTGGAGGCAAGACTAGCAAATGGATTTTGACTAAGATTATTGCTGGTGTCGGTATTTTCATTGTTGTTGTTATTGTTAAAATTATATGATCTTTTTTGATGTTTAACGGGTGAATATACTTTTCTCGTGGAAGAATAGGATCCGTACAACATATTTGAATACTCAGGCATTTTAGTTAATAATAAATAGGGTTGCTTTTGCTGTTGTTCGTCTTGTCTGAAGTCGTTGGAATTTGATAAATAATTTCCATCTGAATGTGATGATGTTTCCAAGTAAACTTGTTCAGCATCCGAATTTATCCATGCTTGTTTTTGATGTTGTTGCCCTCCACCTCCTCCCAATCCTGTTAGATCATCGTCATTTGGATTATCAAATACAGAATTATGTTTGCTATACATTCGTGGCAATAATGGCTCGGCTAGAGATGATGAAGTGGCTAATGGATAATCAGTATAACGGATGTGTGCTGACATGCTTTTTACAGGAGTTGAAGAAACACTCTGTTGTAACATTGACGATAATAGAACAATAAATGTCACGAAATCGATAAACATTATAAAGCGTCAAAAGTTCGTCGGATGTTCTGAAATAAAAAAAATAAGAAAGAAAGGGAGGGAATATCATAGAAAGTAGACAAATATTAAATTAATTAATTTACACTTATTTAGAGAGTAGAGGACAAATATTGTAACACTTTGTTTTAGTTAATCTCATTATGTACGCCTTTATATACAATAATAGAAAAATAATATCTTTACAATAGATATTCAATATCATAGACTGGTTCGGTGAACTATTTTCACTAGAGCGTCCTCGTAAATAAATATAGATTTATTAATTTTTCAAGTTTCTTTCAGAATCTCTCAGATTCTACTCAATGTGTGATACATTTTAACCATAATAAAAAAGAAGGGAGAAATCTCTGAATACATGAGTATATACCACAAAATAGGTTTTTTCTCACTAATTGTGGGTCCAGCATCACTGCTCCTTAACTGTGACAGTGATTAATACAGCATTTATCCATCATATTCCACTAAGACAACTTTTTGTACTGTCCAACTTACAAAAGTTTCGTAAAATCTTCAGTAAATTTTATCTAGCCTAATATACTGACAGAATTGCTTCTAAAGACCAAAAACCGTCTATGTCATATTATCCAAGACCAAAAAAGTCCAAGAAACCACAGTTCACAAAAAGTTCAAAGAAGTAAAAATAATTAAACAGAACTACTAATCCACAGAGATAACATTGGTCGACTAACAGCTATAGCTACAATGTCGAGACAGTGTAAAAACTCAAGCATTATACAATACGTATGTTTGAAAATACAACCTGTAGAGATAAAATCATAAGTTCGTAATAAGGGACTATAATCACTATTTGTTATTAGTCTAATACTATGGCATATTTTCTGTCTAAAATAAGGGACAACATACGATTTTCATTTTTATTCAAACTATTAAACAATGTAAATGAACTAAAATATAGTCTGATTATTTCTCTAAAGTCTTTCTTAATATATTGCATAGACTATTTGTTGATGTTAAGACAAAATCAGTGCGTGTTAAGTTCAAAAGAACACTTTTTTTTTTCTCTAAAAACGCAAGTGTCTTTCTACTATCATGTGCAATTTGAAATAGACAGTTAACTATATGGTTCATAGGAAAAGAAAATGTATCATTAATGCAGCGTACAAATTTCTGTTCTAGTAAAATAGGCATTTATGCCTGCTTCATTGCTCTTCAATCAAAAACATGTTCTTCCCAAAGATAAATCACAAGTATGTCATAGTAAAAAGATCAACTACTCCTACTGCATAGAATTTTGCTTTTTTGTTCTTAAATCAGATGCTGTTGTATAACATCTAATGCAAAAGACTTAATGTTTGGAAGTGTAAGACTTCAAATATAAACATTTTCTAACGAAACTTCATTGAGAATTCATGTCAAAAACTAGATATCATCAAAAACATTCTTACCAATTTCGTCTTTCATCATTTCAAAGTCTTTAAAACATCGTACATAGATAAGTTAAAATATAATCAATTATCAGATGTTTGATAAACTCCTTCCCTCCATAGTGTACTATAAATTTGATTTTGTTGATATTTTTATGGAGAAATGGTTAATGGACCGTTTAATGATTTACGACTGATTAGTCTAATATCACCAATGAAAAAATCTGTTGTAATTCTGTAGTTTTTTACAAATTCTATTTTCACCTCAATGATATTCTATTAGAAAAATTATTTCATTTGGATATTATAGTAAAAACATAAAAAATTTTGTACATGAATTTCAATCCTTGTTTACCTTTCAAGAAAAAGTTAAACAAGGACTAGGAAACAAAACAAAATTGAAGTGAGTTTTTAGCAATTAAGACGTCATTAAACGCATGATTTTTGAATACATACTTCAAGAGAAAATGTAGGTATTTCATTCTATTGAATTAAGATTTATGAATTTAAAAATGTAAACCTAACTATCTATCTGCCTTACCAGTATCCTATTGACATGAAAATAAAGATCAGATTGACATTAAAAAGTCATTATTCAAGTTTTTTTTTTCTCTTCTTTCAAGTAACAATAAATAATTAAAAGACGTCAGAAAATGAAAGCACGAATAGATTTTTTTCACTTATTGCTGTCATTTATTTGGGATAACGAGAAGAAGAAAAAAAACATTATAGTATTAACACTATAAAGTCAACTATAAATCATTCATACTTAAATGTGAGAAATTGTGCTTCTAATCTCTTCATCTAAGCTATAATATTCTTTCGCATACTAAATAATATTTTAAAAGTTTAACGAAGTCTTACTAACTAATGATAATAATTCTTCAAATATTACAAAAAATTGTAACACTTTTTCTTCATTATGATAAAAAAAAGTTAGATTTTTCACTATAAAAATGTTTGTGTATTCTAAACTGTTCATCTCTATTTGACTATAGTATTCGATTGAGACTTATTATTTTATCTCTAGATTAACAACATTGATAAATTTGTTTGATATTTCGCCTGACAAAGAAATTTCTTTATTTTTTTTGTACAATTTTAGAGTATAGAATAAAGATTTTAATTTAAAAAGTTCACTAAGATAGAATGTAAGAATAAAAACTAATCATTTTGTAATTTGATTAATTATCATTTTTTGTAAGAAGTAACTCTTTGCTCCTTATACAATAAAATTATGTACATCTAACTGTAAATACTAAATTTTACATCAATTTAAATATTAAAGAAAGAAAAGTTACAAATTTCTATGACGTAAAGGGCTCTTTCTAAATTGAGACCGCTTTTTTGCAGTCACTCCCGCCCTCTGATGTGTGTTTGATGTCAACTAAGACTTAAAAACAATTAAGATATTTTATTAAAAAAGTGATCTCAATTCGGAAGCTTCAAACGTTGTAAAGATTTTCTTCTCGAAAAAACTAATTATTCTATCATTAGTAGAAACTTTACTCAATAAATTTTTTCAGATAAAAACAATGTAAATTATTTTGAATGAGAAGTCCTTATCATTATCATGTTTTAGATATTCGAAACTTAAAGTACTTACTAGAAATAGTTTGAATATTATTTTTTTTATTGTAAAATCTTTAAAAAAGAAACCTGATGTTATGTTTTCATAATTATTGAACACAAGATTAAATAAAAAACAATAATTTTGTCAAATCCAATAAATCTTATTCTACCATCGTCTTTTTACTATTAGTACAAATTTCATCTGATCTTCTATTTATTTATGATGATATATATATATGTAGACAGATGTTCATCACCAGAAAAGAAGAAGAAGAAGAAGAAAAAAACTAAAAAGAAGAAAATTTATTCTATTCTATAAGAAAATAAATAAAAAGTGATAAAGATAATTGAAGTGATTTTTGATTGTCGGAAATTGGAAATCATCTCATCGTGAATAATATTTCTTTCTATTTATTGAACAATATCATTTACAAGGTCAGTTATTCTCATCTAGAATCATTCAATTGTATAAACAAAGAATTTCTAAAAGTTAGTAGTATAGAAATACAAATTAATAATCAGTTTAAAAAATTAAAAACAAAATAATCATTTTTACGTGACATTCCATTTTTTTCATCTTCTTTTCTTTTCTTCTTCTTCTTCTTCTTCTTCTCTTAGTTTAATAACTCTATTAAATAAATTATTCACTTTCTATTTTAATAATGGAATTGTCCATCTAATGACAAAAAATTGTTTTATAAAATAAAATAAAAAAGTAAAATAAAAATCAATTGTATTTGTCTTCTCTTATTTAACAATAGATATATCAAACATGAATCGATTATTGATGCTCAACTAACAGATTTGTATGCAAGAAAACAAGACAAATGTCGGCTGTCATTGTTAAAAGAAAATATTTTTGATTTTTTCTTAATAATGAATTTTAAAATGTTTGCATTAACATTCATCACATATCACTACATTGGATCAATGAGATGTGTGAATAATGAACAATTTTGTCATGACAGCTAGTAGTTTTTGTTTGTCAAAATCGCTATGATTATTCTAAAAATGATAGAATTATGAACAAAAGACACTAAACAAAGACATATGTCAAAGTTCTAACTCATTACTGATCCATGAATTTAGTTATGAATATGAAAATAATCTTCTACTTCCTACACCTTCCCACCTAGCTCTCAAATATCAAAATGACTCATTTTATACACGCTTTCATAGACACTGCTCTAGACAAACTCCAACGCACTTTCTATTTATTTCTTACTACGATCTTATAGGATCCTAATGTTAGATTTATAATAGGAAATAAGTAGAAAGTGTACAGAATTTTGTCTCCAAGTGAATTATGGCATTTTTATGTTAGAGTCCTATTCGGATTCTAACAGAATCCTAGGGCTTTCAGGTATCTCGGATTTCATTAGGATTCTATAGGATTTTTCCAGGATCCCACTTAAAACTAAACGAATTCCTTAAAGGATCCGAGTAGAATTTCTCTAAGGTCTTGTCAAGAAATGTATAGGTTTTTTATTAGGGTGTATTCAGTTGGTTTAATTCCGTAACGAAGATTGATTGTCTTTTTTTGTCTTTCAAGTTAAGACACTTCTTGGACTTTTCTTAAGGGCGAAATAATCCTATCTTATCCTCAAACATTTCTAATTTTTTATAGAACGTATACATGTCATCATTCAAAAATCCTTTTTCAGCCATGGATTAAAGTTTTGAATGAGATATAAAATAATTCATTTTTTTTATAATTAAAAATTCAAAAATCTGACGTAGGAAAATATAAAAAAAGAAAATTTATTGATATATCATCGGTACTTTGGCAAATATTATCCTATTCTCACGGCTTTTGCTTTCTACTGTCAACTTCTCTCCGAAATTAGTAGGCAGATTTTACATACGTCTTTTCCAATAATAATAAATCTTATAAATTAAATTTAAAAAAGCTTGAGTTTTACATACAAAACAAAAACTCATTAGCTCCTTTCAATGTATGCACAATAGTTTTTCAATTTTGCGGCTTTATTCTTCCTTGATCTTTACTTTTTCTTCAGACAA